CATTCCACTACTGGATTCTTCCACAGGAGCCAGACGTGGCCCCCACAGGGGATGCTCTGGCCTCCTCCAGGTGAAAGACGGTCCCAGAGGCCTGATATAGTTGGGACATAGGCAGGGGCCATTCCCTCTGAACTTTATAAAAGGTTCAGCAACACCTGAGGTTGAGAAGATGTGGTGGTGTGTTTTTCACAGTGCTTTGTAGAGGTCTCCATGGATATCAGAGTTTCAGGACGAGGGGCCTGTGTTTCCATTGTCCTTGGAGAGTGCTCAAAATCACAGTACATGTTTGCTCATGGGAAGTGTGTACACTTTCCCGTTGTCTTAGGCTCTGTACTTTGAGAAATGATCCCCACCTGGCTGGGCTCTTCCCTGCCAGAACGTGTCCAGACAGGACAGGGTTCAGGGCACATAGAGTATTAAGCAGGGCTCCCAAACTGCCTGAGACTTCTGCCTGTGGGGCCGTGCCCATTTCCTCATAGAGGGATCCACGCATGCCTGTGGCATAGACGGAATGGCCTGCTCTGTTCATTTTCCATGTTGAAGAGGGCTCTACAGGCATAAGATGAGCAGAACACAAGAATAGCTTGGCTCTCATCCACATACCACAAGTTTTACACGTACCTGAGAGGGACAGGAAGTAGTGGGTCTCTTTTCACCTCTACCTTGCAGAAGGTCGAAGCTTGACGCAGGTGTCCAGGGCATATGGGGTCTGCTGACACCTTCCTTGTAGCAGCACCACACTTACCTGGGATGGTCAGTGTGTGCCAGAGCTGTGCTGACATTCGTGCTGTCCAGGGTACCACCAATATGCCTGAGGTCATCAGGACATGGGGAGCCTCTGCTCACAATCACAGTGTGCAGGGCACCACACGTACCTGAGTTGTTCAGGACAGAGAGAGGCTCTGCTCACACCCACTTGGTAAGGGGCTGCTTGCACACCTGAGGTGCTTAAGACAAGAGTGGGGCTCAGGTCCCCTTCACATTGTGGATGGCTCTGTATAGGCCTGAGGTAGTCAGGACATGGGCGGGGGTACAGTTCAGCTTAGAGTAAAGTTTTACACGGCTACATGGATGGGGCTCTTGGTCACGACCCAGGGAGCTTATTTACATCCACACTCTACAGGGCTCCACACAGGTCTGAGGACATGAGGACGTGGGTGGGGTTCCTGTTCACATACACATTTTATGGGTCCCCACCTTCCAGACAGGAAGAGGACATTGGCAATGGTTTTGCTTCTGTGCTCTCTTTTTAGAGGCTCACACACAAGTGAAGTGCTCAGGACCTTGGGCCTCTCATTCACAGCTGCATTATAAAGGGCAGCACACATACGGAGTGAGGATGGTATGCGGAGTGCTCTGTTGTCATCCACACCACTGAGAAATCCACATTCCCGACCCATGTGGTCCAGCCAGTTGAGTGATATAGAGAGCAGCTGGGGTGGTGCAGACTTAGAAAGCTCAGGTCATTTCCTCCTTGGAACAGAGGGCTCGAAACCCCTGAGAGGGTCAGCATGTAGCTGGGCTGCTCACATCCACGTTGTCCACAGTTCCCCCAGGCCTGTAGAGGACAGGACATGGAGAGGCTCTGCTCACATTCCAGGTGTACAGGGTTCCACCCATGACTGAGCTCCTGAGCACATGGGGTGATCTGTTCACATTCACATTGAGGTTGGCTTCACGCTTGGGAGATGCAGAGACTGTGTGGTGGGGGATGCCGGTCAGAGCCATGTTGTAGAGATTTTCCACAGGCCTACATTGGTCTGGAAATGACTGTTCTCTGTGTACAGGTCTCTATACATTTTTTTTTTTTTTGGTGCCATGAATTGAACTCAGGCCCTTGAGCTTATGAAGCAAGTGGTGGAATCACTGAGCTAAATGCCCAGCATAGGTCTCCATCCTTTTTTTTTGAGACAGGGTCTAACTATGTAGTTGAGACTGACCTGTAACTCATTATGTAGCCCAGGCTGGTCTTAAAACTCATGCGATCTTCCTGCCTCAGCCTCCCAAGTGCTGGGATTACAGGTGTGCACCACCCCCCCCCAGCTACATCTCCATTTTTAATGGTGATGCATATAACACGTAGAGGCTCTGTTCTAGTTGAGTTTGTAATAGGCCCACACACCTGTGGGGATCAGAAATGGAAGCTCTGTCTGTGCTTTCACATTTTGCAGGGCTCCACTGTGCCTGAGGTCATCAAGACACAGTAGAGTGCACCTGCTGACATGTTTATTGTGCGGTACTGTACACATTGCTGGGAAGGTCAGGACAGGCATGTTTATGCTCACAACCTTTTGGTAGACTTCACGATTGTGGAGCTGGGGGCTACATATATATATATGTACGTAGCAAAAGTCACCAGACAGGTCTCGTCAGGTGGAGAGATGGTTGGTGTTGAGGCCAAGTTCACATTGTACAATGTTCTCCACGTCTTGGAGAGGAATTACAGGTCAGGGGGATGCAGGCAGCCTGCCCACTTTTCTTTAGAGAGGGCCCCATATACAGCTCGTTAGGGAGGCTCCATACAGGCCCTAGATGGTAAGCATGTGTGTATGTGTTTGTGTGACTTGAGGGCATATTCAGCTCATACTCACCCTGTAGCGTTATTCACACTTTTGTGAGATAGTCAGGACATTGTATTCTCTGTTCACATCCACATTAAGGAGGATTCCACACAGGGGTGTGAGTACTGGCACAAGTCTAGTAATATCCCTGCTTCAGAAGCTTTCCACCTCTTGGGACTGAGCAATCAGTGGGGCCCCTGTCCTCCCCACCTGGAGGAAGGCTCCATATGAGACAGAACGGAGATGCCCTCTGGGTACTCCATGTTCTTCCATTTGCAGAGAGATCATATGTGCCCTGAGTATGGAGAGCAGCATATGGAGAGCTGGTCTTCACGTTCACGTTGTTCAGGTCCTCCCAAGTGCCTGACATTTTAGGACGTGGTGCGGCCTGCTCATGTCCACATTTCACAGTAATCCCCACCTGCCTTAATAGGTCAATCAGGATTCATGTGTGGGCTTCTTTTCACATTTGCCCTGTGACTTTCGTGGTCCTAACACTCCTGAGGCTTTCAGGAGGTGGTATGTTCTGTCAACATCCAGGCTAAAGTGGGATTCACTGAGGCTCTAAGCAGTATTAGAATTTGAGATAGGCTGTGCTCTGTGTCACTTTATAGAAGGTTCCACAAATACCTGAGGTTGTGAGAGTCCGAGGCACATTTCCCACACTATGGTGTAGAGGTGTCTACAGGCTCCTGAGAGGGGCAGGATCGGGGGTTATGCTCACATTGCATGGGGAGAGGGCTCACAATCACATTAGAAGTTGGAATATGTTCACGCGCCCCATGTTTAAGGCTGTTTACCTTGAGAAATCATAACCTCAGGGAAGGCTCCATTGACAGCCATGTTGTATAGGGCTCTACATATACCCGAGACTTTCCAGACATGGGAAGACTCTGCTCACTTAGAGAGTTCTACAGAATTGCTTGTGTGCCTGAGTCTTTGAGCAAATCGGCCACTCTATTCACGATCCATGTAGGAGAGGTCTTCACACAGGCATGTGATGAGCACAACACGGGCATGGCTCTGCGTACATCATGGTGTAGAAGGTTTGCACCTACCTGAGCGGGTCAGGAAAGGGTGGGCCTCTTTTCATGTCCAATTTCTAGAGGGCTCCGTACACGATGGAGACACTGTACTTGAGGGGCACTGCTGCCCTTCTCATTGTACGGGTACCGCACATAGCTGGCATTGTCAGGACCTGGAAGGGCTCTGTTCACATTCCTGTTGCCCAAGGCTCCAGTGAGACCTGCGGTGGTCAGCACATGAGGGTGCTTTATCTATTTGGTACCAGGAATGGAAATCAGGACCTGTGGTTGTGAGGCGGGCAGAGGAGCCCCTGAACTAAATCCTCAGCCCTCGGGTGCTGTACTTTTAACCACGCAGTACAGGGCCCCACATGTGACTGCAGGGCTCAGGACTTTCAGAGGCTCTGCTCACATTCATAGCGTAGAGGGATCCAGACACACTTGCATTTGATAGAATTGGTAATTCCTGGTCAAACCCATGTTTTCGAAGTTTCTGCCCATGCCTGAAATAATCAGGATCTGTGGGAGTTGGGTCTATGCTCATGTGTAGGTTTTTGAATGTTCCACCCCCTTGAAATGTTAGTTATTTTTGCTGTCTTATCATGTACTTGTGGTAGGTGACTCAAACACCTGATGTGGGCTACATGGGGAAGCATAGCTCACATCATTGTGAGAGCACACCACACACGTTACATACACAGCACATGAGGGGCTCCAGTCACATCCTTTTTTACCAAGTTCCATATGGCTGACAAGCTCAGATTACAGGGGTTCTTCCCGCTTTCTTTGGAAGATTCCAGACTCCTGGGGTGGTGAGACTTGAGAGCCTTTGCTCATGCATGTTGTAGGAGGCCCTGCACTTGCCTGACCTGGTCAGGATTCAGCAGCAGGGTGGTGCCTGTTCACCATCATGCAGTAGAGGTCTGCATACATGCACGGGATGATGGATGGGACCTCCCCTCACATGAGGATTTTAGAGAACCCCATGCATCTGATTTGGCCAGGATTTATGGGGCTGTCTCTGCTTTCTTTTGCATTTTGGAGGATTCCTCATACACCTGCGATGGTCAGGTCAGCCTGATCTCTGCTCACATCCACACCCTGCAGGACTACACTCACACGTGACATCAACAATGTAAGAGGGCTTCACTTGCCATGCTCATCAAGGAAGATGCCTGAGATGTTTAAGAGGTAGTGGGGATCTGCCCTTTTCCACAATGTAGAGGCCTCAATATGTCCCTGAGATGGTTAGCACACGCGGGGCTCCACACATACTCAAAAGGTACAGGTTGTGTCACAGGCCTGAGGCAGTCTGAACATTGGAGATGTTGGGCCTCTCAAATACTTGGAACCACTGCCTGGTCAGGACATGGGGTGCTCTGCTCACACCCACATTCCAGAGGGAACTACATACCAGAGGTGCTCAGGACAAGGGGTGCACTGTTCACAGCATTGTTTCAGAGGACGCCACAAACAGCTTCAGCCGTGATGACCTGGAAGGCTCTGCTCACATCCTCCTCCTGACCAAGGACTCCACACCCCTGAGAAAGTGAATGGAAAAGTGTTTTACTCAGATCCACATTGTAGAGGATTCTGCGTACAGGTGAGGTGGGCAGGACATGGCAGTTCTGCTCACATCCTCCAGGGCCTTCACATGCCTGAGTGGTCAGCCTGTGTTTGTGTGGTGGGCTGTGCTCCCCTTCCCCATGGATAGGGCTCACATCCCCATCAGGGTGATATAGGAGGTGGGACGTGGCAAAGCTGGCTGGCGAAATAAGCAGGACTTGTCAATTATACATCCACAAGCACAGCGAGAGTAGTTGGTGGGACTTATCTATTACCAGATTCCAGAACAGTATCACGTAATTCTTAGGAACTTCTCAGAAGCTCCTATAAGATTTGGATGGTATCAGAGAGACAAGACACAGTGTTGATCTTGCCCTCATTACCCCCACCATAGCCTCTCCGTGTCTTTCGGACCTAGGATGTACCTTTGTTGTTACTTGTATCCTTTCCTGTCTGTGTGTTTGTCCTATGTTTGCTCTGCAGAGTGATTTCTCCCCTTACCCATTTACCTCTCATTTCAAAATAAACTTTGGGTGGGCTCTGTTCCCATTGCCCTTGTGTAGTGCTCCACACCTCCTTGAGATGGTCAGGGCATGGGGTGCTCAACTCACATCCACATCACAGAGCTCTCCTTATGTACCTAAGATGGTCAGAGGTCAGGGAAAGAATTAAAAGTGGTTTGTCAGTGAAATGCAATATGTGCTGAATGACCTTGGCTTGTGTGATAGAGCAATGTTACACAATCAGACAGTTCCTTGCTTTGCTTCCATGGTTTTTCTTTCCACAGAATGTTTTGTTCCAGATGTATAACAGGTTGTGCTGCTGGCAGCAGTCCTGCCCAATGTGTCAAAATGTTTTGTAACTGTTTGAACTCCGTGCTCTCTCAAGAATGTTCTGTTAGCTCTTCCCCTTTCAGGAATGTTCTATAACTCTACCCACTCCCCTCCAAGATCATACTTGCCCACTATGATCTCTCCCTATATAAGGAGGCTCTCATTCTGGTAGGGTGTTCAGACTTCAGAGTACAAACTCTTCTGAGCCTACAGGTTTAATAAAGGTTTTTTTCCACCTCTTTGAGGGACCATTAGATTCTTCAAATTTCAGTAACTGCAACGCTGAGTAGTAACACTTGTCTGTGCTTCAGAGCTGTGGCACTCAACTGTAACACAGCTGTAACACTTGGCTATAGCACACACCAAGCCTATTCTGCTTTGCTACAACAGCTTGCCTTTGTGCAGCAAAGCTATCTTCTCAGAAAGGAGTACATAAAGATAACTGTTCACACACACACACACACACACACACACACACACACACACACACAATTAAATGATCATTTCCAGGCTCTAGCCAAAGCTGGGAATGATCCCTTCTAGCCACATAGCCATATTGGCACCAAGTCAGTTTTGCCTGAACACAGAACTTAAGAAAGTTTGGTGTGGCATTTTCTCTCCTGCCTGCCCAAGGCTCTGACTCATGAAAGACTCTTCATCTTTGGTGTAGTATCCTGCCTCGTTGTATGGTAATATGTTATTTGACTATGTTCATATCTGATGTACTTTTATAATAAACTTATTTTCATCTTTTCAAAATTGTTATGTGACTCTTCTCTGTTCATGTGGATCTGAAATTCAAATTTCTGTAGCCACAGCCTGTGTGTGGCTGCTTGCTGTTACATCAGGAGATTTGGTCCCTAGATCAGAAACTGATTTTAGGGGTCTCCATACTTCTCATGTGGTCAAGACAAGAATCTCTGCTCACCTCTTTGTTGCCTCCACAAATATCTGAAAAGGTCAGGTCACCGGGGTCTCTGTTTGCATCATCCTTATTGAGGGCTCCACACATATGAGCTGATGAGGGTGTAGGAGAACTGGTCCCCATCTCATTTTTCAGAACTCCACTAGTGGCCAACAGAGTCATGACATTGTATAGGGGCTGTTCCTGCTTGAGATCCTGTGAACAGGTGTGGCTCTAGTCACTGCCTTGTTTCACAGGGTTCTACCCACACCAGAAATGCTCACTGCTTTGTTGCTGTGTTATTTTGTGAGGTCATAGAATGTACCTAGTGATAGAACTGCCTGTAATAAATGGCATAAAAATACTTTTAAAAATATGTTTTTAAGAAATTATACCAAGAGCATAGCAGCTATTTACTCTTAGAGTCTGGAGACTGCTTTCTGAAGTGGGCTACAACATTTTTCCCTCTGGAGAATCACAAACAAAATGAACTGCTGTACAAGGTGGAGAAGTGGTTAGAGGGAGATGGTAGAAAAGAGGAGACCTTCATGGGCGGTTGGAGTGACCAAGTGAGAAGTCAGGGACCTGGAGGAGAATGACAGCAGGAGAGGGGAGAGCAGCGAGCTCGATGGGATCTTCTACTATTTCATCAGTGGGATGTGCAGAGACAGAGGACCGGGGATAGCACCTAGCTTCTCCCAGTGCCACTGAGTGAGGTGCAGTTTGAGGTGTTAGGTGACAGCATGGAGAAGCCAGGGAGGTGAGTGTATGTGCTGGTGTGGAGTTTCTGGAGAGTTGAGTGTCAAGTGGAACACGCGTGTCAATACCACTTTGGCTGAAAGTTGTGATAATGTGACATATTGTAGCAGCGTGAGGTGAGCAGGACAGATCCACAGGCAGAGAAAGAGGAAGAAGTAGTAATGTTAGGCCAGAGAAAGATATCTAAAGAATGTTAACACTTAGTAAAAAGGAAAATGAGAGGTTAGTATCTCAGACATCAATAACAATATCCAACAAAATAGGGAGCCATACTTTATTAAGTTAATAAAATATTCATATCCCACAAACTATCACAGAATGTGGCATGGAGGGAATAGGATATGAAGCTAACACAGTACTTAATGGCCTGCATTCCCAGAAATAATAGTCAGGAGATGATAATGGACGAGAAGATCCCATTTACAGTGCCAGTAAGGTACTTAGGAATAAACTTGAGGAGTATGCAAGACCTATATTGGAAAAACATCAAGACTCACAAAGGACCCAAAAGTAGACATAAAGTGAGAAAAAGTGGTCCTTCCTCTTTGAATACTTAACATTGTGAAGTTGTCTATTTTCCCCCAATTAATTTATAGATCTGATATATGACCAGGAACTGCACCAGGAAGATGTTGAGGTGCATGGGTACTTTATAGTCTTTATATATCTTCTCAGAAAAAACTATTTTCAAATGTTTTCTCCTCTTCTGAGAGCTTTCTTTTCAAGTTCTTGATGGTGAGTTTTTTGTTGTTTTGTTTTGTTTTGTTTTTTTGACACCCGGGTCTCACTATGTAGTTGAGACTGACCTGGAACTCACTATGTAGCCAAGGCTGGTCTTGAACTCACAGTGATCCTCCTGCCTCAGCCTCCCAAGTGCTGGGATCACAGGTGTGTGCCACCATGCCTAGCTTTGATGGTGAGTTTTGATGTGCAAAGTGTACAAAATTATTTTTGCAGTGCTAAAGATTGGTTCCATGCCAGGCAAGCAAGCACTCTACCATTGAGCTACATATCCACTTCCATAAGTTTTTAATTTTGATGAAGCCAATTGTGTATTTCTTCTTTTGTTACATGTGCTTTTGGTGCCACCTCTAAGAAACCATTGCCAAATACAAGGTTGTGAAGATTTACCCTTATTTTTTCCAAGTGTTTCACAGTTTTAGATCCTACATGTGGAGGAAGTGTGAGGAAGGATTCCAATTACTTCTTTTAAATGTGGCTGTCTTGTTGTCACAGCACCTTTCCTTTGTCTTTTTGATATGTCCTCATGAAGCAGGATAGAAAAAGTAAAGATATTTTCTATCTAGAAAGGAGATATTTTTGTCTCTCTTATTACCTTAAAACTCTGCATGTAGACATAATCACTTAAGGATTTCCTGTATTGCAAGGTTTATAACTAAATAACTCCAGTCTATCTCACCCCCCTCAAGGCTTGAGGACACCAAGGTAAGCATAAAATAGTTTTCAGGGCTTATGTATAGTAAGCCCCATTAAGACTGTCAATTTCTAGCAAAATGAGGTTATAAGGTGTCACAACACAAAGCCCAGATTTGTCAACCAAAGGTGACATGTCTGAGATATGTTTTAACTTTAAGACAAACACAATTGTCCTCAAGGATAACAGAGACAATTTGCTGTCTGGATTCTCCAGAGTCCAAATAGCAGCAGAAGGCTTTCTTGGCAATGTCAGGCTTCTGCCACATATAGATACCTCATTTTGGAGTATAGCCAAACCACTATATGAGACAACTTGGAAGACCAAAAACTTAACCCTTAAATGGACAACAGCTGCTCAAAAAACTTTTAACACTTTAAAACAGGCCTTGATGCAGGCCCTTGCATTAGAAATGTCAGACCTAACTAAGCCTTTTTCTCTCTTCATGGCTGAGAGATAGAAGTAGCTATGAGAATGCTAACTCAACATTTGCCCCCCCCAAAAAAATACAAAACAGTTGCTTATTTTTACAAGTGATTAGATAGAGCAACACAGGGATGGCCTACCTGGCTACAAACAATAGCCACTATGATACTCTTAGGCCAGGAAGCTTCTAAGATAACCTTAGGACAAAAGATCTTAGTTCTTACTCCACATCAAGTTAAGACTCTGTTAGAACTCAAGGGATATTTGCAGATAACTGGAAAAAAGGCTCACTAAATATCAGACCATTCTTATTAAAAATACAGATGTTTCTCTTTAGTCTTATACTGTTTTAAACCGAGCCACACTTCCCCCAACATACCAGTAGATAAAACATGAGTAAAGTATGAGTGTGAACAGACCATCACCCAAAATTATGCCAGTGGACCTGATCTGAGAGACCAGCCATTAACAGGGCCAGATATCTCAAGGTTCACTGATGGCCACAGTTTCATGAACAATGACCTTAGGTAGGTAGGTTATGCCATAGTCAGCCCCACCCAGTCACTGAAGCAAGAGGACTTCCCCCTAGGACTTCTGTTCAACAGGCAGAAATTGTTG